CCATTTGTTTGTTAGAGGTTGATTGGATAGTTTGGCCAGCGAGGGTCTGGGCTGTACATTACCTAGTTAGTGCTAGTGGAGTGGGTGAGGACATTGTGCACTGATTATTTCTTGCTCTTTCAGCAAGCAGTACAGCATGTATATATGATTGATTTGTTTGGCTGCTCAGATCAACTGGTTGAATTACCCTAGTTGCAAAGATGTGTAACCAGAAAATTTTGCTAACATGCAGGGATTTTCATAAATATAAAGATGTAATTTGGATATTTCAATGCAAGAAAAAATCTAGAACATCTTATGTTTAGTAGGATTTGGCACCGCAGATCAACGGTAATGGAGCGTTTGTCCTGGCAAAACCCAAACTTGCCATGCCAACCAACTGAATTTAGGGTTTTGTCATGGCAATTTTGTAGAACTGTGGCTTGTTTAAATGTAGAGAATTGCCGTTCATTCGATCATGATCGAACAGTTTTGGGGGGACAGGCAGCAATTCCACTTCCCCACTGTCGATCACAAACCACCGAAGATATCGAAGATAAGATACCGCTACCGAATCTCATAGATGAATAGCAAACCATGTATGAACATTCAACCCAGCACACACACAGCAGGGCAACGAAGGAAAATTGACAAAAGATAACTTAGGCACTTGGAATCACGAAGCAAAGAACCTAGTCACACAAAACCCAGTTCTCATACTAGAGAAAGTTTCAAAAACATCTTGGTACGCTGGTGTCTCTCCACCCTTGTAAAAAAGATTTAAAGACACATATAATGGGGCAGCATAACTACTGGTCGCTGATGGTCACCTCGACCTCGACGCCGGGCTCGATGGTGATGGAGGTGATCTGCTTGACTACGTCCGGGGAGCTGACGAGGTCGATCACCCTCTTGTGCACCCGCATCTCAAACCGATCCCAGGTGTTGGTACCTGTTTCACCGGACAAAGAACCAAGTGATTAGACTGAGTTCATCCCAAAATTATATTTTTTTGAAGGAAAAAAATGGGCAGCAGGATTAACAACAGACAAGTGATTCGTGATGAGCTGAGCATCAGGTTTAAAAAGCTCGATTTTGAAACATCAAATGTATCAGAATAATCTTTTGGAATCATCATTTGCTCAGCCCGTCCACTAGGTGCAAAGACGTCATTCTTGGGGAAATCATCAGAAGGTAAATGAATAAAACTACTTGTGGCATAAGCTACAATCATATGGTACTGGATTAAAAATGTGCAGGTACACATGTTGTAAACATCAAGAGAGGGCTACACTTGACAGATCACCCGCGTTGCCTACTAGGAGAAACAAGTGCAAAGAAGAAAACCAAACAACAGAGAGGCTAGCCATCAGTCTTAAAAAGCTCGATTTTGTATTATTCCTCAAAGAGAATCTCAGGAATATGTTGTTGTAGCATCATCTGACCAGCCCATCCATCATTTAACACAAGCCAAAAAATCAACACCACACACAAGCATCCGCCATGGATTGCACCACTGCTAGATCCAAACGTGCTATGGATTCCAACTGACAAACAGATCGACTCCTACGCAGGACGACCAACAACAATAGACTATCACTCAACTTATTCACTAGCACTAGACAAACCAAGCATCAGTTTTAAAAAGCTCGGTTTAAGATGCATCAATGATGGTGAAATCTCAGTAGCATCTCCTTGTAACATCATATGCTCAGCTGACAAACGACTCAGATTGTAACTCCTCTACATCATATACACTACAAACACACAGAGCTGCATCTCTAGATACACAAGAACAAAGCAACACGTTGATTGATGGCATGCGAGGCATCAGTTTTAAAAAGCTCGATTTTTAGATCGTCAAGGGCCGGAAAGGCCTCAGCGGTCTAAATGTTTCACATCCTCTGCTCAGCACGCCACCATTCATCACAGCGATTGATTCCTATTGTCTAAACAGCCGGACATCCACAAAAAACAAACATGGCGAACAGAGGGGCGCGAGAGAGGGGGAGACGGGTGGGTACCTTCTCCGCAGGGGGACTTCCTGGTGGTGATGTTGAGCACCTTGGTGGGCATCCGGACGGGGCCCTTGACCTTGAGCTGCTTCTCCTTGGCGCCCTTCACCAGATCCGAGCACACTGCACACGCGCAAACGTCAGACGAAGGCCAGCCAGACGAACGACCAACGAACGGGGAGCAAGAAATCACAGACCCTTCTCGAGGTTCTTGACGGACTTGGAGGAGAGGGTGATGCGGATGCGGTGCTGCACCTCCTGGGTGCCCTCGAACCCGAGCTTCCCCGACTTCATCGGCGGCGCGTAGGCCAGCTCCGTCGCCATGGCTGCCGGTGGCGGGCGGGGGAGGGCGAGCTAGGGTTGAGGAGGCGGCGGCGGCGGCGCTGGGGGGGTGGAGCTCGCTAGGTTTTGCTGGGCGCAGCGGGCGCTCCGCTTTATGTAGAGGAGTCTGTGATGGGAGGACGCATGGGCTTGGGCTGTGCGTGGAGTCTTCGCGGGCTTTCGGCCTTGGGCTGGGCCACCCGTCGTAAAAGGAAAAGAGGTCTACAAAAGGCCTGCTCTAATGTTCTCTAAAAACCTTCCTCAAAAAAAAAATGTTCTCTAAAAAGATCTAGAGCTAATAACGTGTTAGAGCACAAAAATTACACAAGAAATCTAGAGCTAATAATTTGTCTCAAAAAAAATAAAGTCCCATAAATCAGTCCAATGAAATCCACGGTACATGCACCCGGTCAACATTCAGAGAACAACTTCGATCATGTTATTTTGCTCCCAAGAAGCGATAAGCACGAAACTAAAAGAAACTGAGCCGAACTGAAAGGGGTTGTGTTTTACTAGCGAGCTCAAGATGAAACTTGGACCGAACCTGACCGACACCGCTACAGATGACAAACATCAAAACTATCTCTACAACTGGTTAACAAGACTGAAGGGGGGCAATCCAATGGTAAAAAATCCAGTGATTGCCCCCTGGATGCATGTATGATGATGAACAAAATAAACAGTTGAAGCAATCGCAGGACAATTGATCACCAGGTATACATAGTTTCCACCCTTGCCCCAATCAATCAGAGGACTCTCGTGGTCTAGACAGAAAATCGCATTTTGCCCGAGCCGAAAGCACACCAAAAGTGAAACCAAAAATCGCATAGCGGGCAGGCCAGCAGAAATCACTTTACGTAAATTTACATATTATTATTTATTTGAAACCACCGTAGGATGCATGCAAATTTTATGTATTTTTGGATGAAACTTCGCAGATCCACACATCATAAACAAAATTTGCTACCCCATAAAATCCGGTCATCATCACCATACGCAGGTTTCCCACAACCAGTACAAGGTCCACAGCAGCAGCAGAATGATGCCCCCTCTCATATACCAGGGTTACATGATGAAACCACGGCCCTTTCAGATATTACAACGCGGTTGATTTCCTTTTTCGCAAGGAGAATCTTCTACCTCTGGAACGGTATCGGTGCACGTCCTGGCCAAGTTTCGATCTTCTCGAAGTACTTGACGGGGACGACGCCGTCGAAGCCCTCCGTCAGTATCACCTTGTTGTCTGAGATGTATAGCTTCATCCCGTCTGGGAAACAAATTTGGAAATCAAATGTTAGCCTCTAGTCCAGAGGTAGAGGCTGGAGAGCCCTGATCATTTGCTGCTATTTACATGCGGCGGTCATACCTTGCAGTGCCTTTCTGACATTCAAATATATCAATATGTTTGCGCCACTCCGCATACCTGAAGAACACAAACCGTTAGTCCATGAAAAGGCAGAGGTGGAAGAAACATTAGACCACGAGCTGGGAATATATAATTATGGAGCATGAGTTGATGATGCACCTAAATAATGGAGAACAGCAATAACTGGGTGCACGTCAGATTTACATTGGAAAGATAAAATATGGATAATTTTCAGCATGATTTTACATGGAAGAACAGCCTTAGTCCTTCTATTTGTTTCCATAAGAACAAACTCAATAATAGTATGTCCGAAATGGAAAATCATACCACTAATAACTCCCCCATCCGATGGTAAACCACTTGAGAAATGTACATGTAGCCTTGCCATACGTTTAAGCCCATATTTCAGTATTGAATCAACATTTTTCCTGTAAGTTCCATGGACACAGACTGTGGATAGAAAGAATTAGCACAAACGCCAGCCATTCAGGAGAGGATGCAAACACGAGTGTTAAAATCAAGTACCTGAGACTTCATCAGCCGATAGAATTGGTTTCAACAAGCTCTCTGATGTAACAGTCTGCAAGAGGTTTACTCGATTATTATAAACGCAAACTTGATTCACTAATTCCACTATGCTGGTTGCTTGCAAATACAGTTCAACTGATGCTAGAATAAGGTAGCATATCACATTCCACAAACAACCCCAACAAGGAAACAGAACAGGAACTCTGCTCCCAGAAATATGCAAAAATTAGAATGAAGATACATTGGAATTATGTGTCTTCTGATTAAATTAGGGTGTTTGGAATATGACCTCAAGAACTGTGATGGAACATGTAACAATGAAGACAAGTCACTAAAAGATAAGTTGATTGTATTATCTGACCTAAGATCAGATATGATTTCTTTCAAAACATACCCACAGGTTACAAAGCTACATTGGTACAATCCTGTAATAGCTTAGGCATCAGAGAGGACAGGAGTGTCTTAAATCTTAATTACTAACATGGAAGCTCAACCGTAGTGCTACAGAAGAATATACATTATCGCTGTATGCCAGTATAGCACATCGAGGATAAGTCCAAGCCATTATAAGCACGATGAATTGCAACTTCATTCCTAGTACGGGCCAACAACGACCGATGATATAATTCTTATGACTAGTTAACAATAAGAAAACTACCACCGAGATTATAATACTGTAAAAGCATTCACATCTCAAGCTAAAGCACACAATGCCCCATATGTAGTTGATTCAAAAAATAGTCTGTATAAAAATCCCAAAGAGGGTGCATGCCACTATTAGGGCTCCTTTTGTATGTCTAATTTTCTCAGAAGTTACAGAAAAACAATGGTTACAAGGCAGGTGATCAAGAACATGATAAACACACCATACTTGTAGAAAAAAGAATACATTAGTGCAGGGGGCGTTCAGGCAGAGAACATACTGTCACAGTGTGCCCCTGGTTAGCTCGAATCAGCAGCTCGCCATCCTCCTCCAACAGACCAAATCTCTGCTTGTTGTCTCGCCTGACCGCCTACATGCAAATTTGCAGAATTTTACTCAAAGCAGCTTACAACTCACAACAAGTTCAATAGTAACCTGATTAATTTTACAGCTTAGAGATATTTCCCAGTTTAAGCTCAAGGTGATAGCTAAAAAGATGAAAACAACATGTAGCAGACACAAGTACACCAGGGTGCTCAGAAAAATCATCTACTGTTAAGCAGGAAGATGAGGCATGAGCAAAATTACCTCCCTGATTTCATCCACCGTGTGGGAGTTGAGCGGAACCTTGGCGAAGGTCTCCAGGTTGAGGCGGAGCAGGTCGCGGACCCGCACATAGCCATCGCTCCTCATGTTCAGCCTCAGCTCCGGCGCCATGTGCCGCAAGACCCTCGTCCTGAGAAGAGAAGCACAGAAGCACTAATGAGTACCCAGCTAGCAACAACACGACTGCAGAGAGGGGAGCTGGGGTTTGTGCCGGTGTATTACAGGAGGCGGCCGAGGGCGTCGATGCGGTTTCCGCCGTCGCCACCGCCGCCGCCGCCACGTCCACCCGGCCGCCTGCCACCGCCACGGCCGCCACGCGGCTGGTGCGTGGAGGCAAAGGCGGCAGCATTGGAGCGGTAGCCAGAGGAGGAGGAGGGGTTCATGGTGGGAGGGAGGCGGAAGGTTGAGGGGAAGGAGGGGTGGAGGAGGAGGAGGGCGCGTATCAGGGAGGAGATTGTGGCGGCAGTGAGGGCTCTCATAAGCAGCAGAAGCGGCGGTGGTGACACGACCGGCGACGCGCGGTGGCGGCCGGACGACCCCTGCTGGTGAAGACGGGTGAGCTCAGCCGGGTTGCTGCCTGGGCTTGCGCTACGGTAACCTGGAAGATTAAAGACATGGAGTGTTGTCAATTACAAAAAATCAAATCCCACGCAATTAATTTCAAAAGCTAAAAAGGAAAAGTTATAAAAGTGAATGGTAACCAAGTTAATGTTCACAGCACAATTTCTCTCTTATTATTTGTTAATTGTGTAATCTTAACTTGAAACTTGTGGCATCCATGTGAACCTAGTTGAATTTCCTTGTCAGATCTTTTACGTCAATATGGTTGGAAATACAGAGGGCGAGACAGCAGCTAGCTAGGCAGATGGTAGATGTATGTTCAGAGTATATGAGGACCATGTTACTGTTCAGAAACTAGTAATACGAAGATGATAGCCAGGCAAAACTACCGTAGGCCTAGATAGTGATTACCTTAACAAGTAGCCATATAGTAACAAGTAAAACACGGATGAAATCCTAAACATCAATCAATTTCTAATGTTCTAAGAAAGTAACACTTGCTAGATAACAGAAGCAGCAACGTGGGGTATCAATCAGCCTGAGGCGCTCGACTTGAGGGGCGCCATGGTAAGCTAACGAACGATTCTGCAGCAAGGCTCGCCAGATTCAGAAGCAGGAAGCGGCGGTAGATAAGCTCGATGGACGCACCTCACGGGCTCCTCCCGGGCCTGGAAGAAGAACGAGGCGGCGGCGGCGGCGGTGGAGGAGTCTGGCACGCTCGGCGGAGGGGCAGCGGGGCGGCGGAGGGGAGCATCCGACGGGACCGCGTGGGAGGCGCAGGAGGAGGGCGCGCGCGGCGGAGGAGCGTCGTGTCGGCGAGGGTCGGGGGGCGGTGGCGGCGGCGGAGCGAGAGGGTCGGGAAGATGAGATGCGATGCGAGAGACGCTCCTTTTTTTCTTCAAGTTTTTTCCGACCGACCGACCGAGCGAGCCCGAGGTGCGATTTTTCAATACACTGAGGGTCACCGAAGTTGAGTCAAAAGCACAATACAATCACTGGCCTTTAAAATACACTCGTTACGGTCACTATGTACGCAAAGTGACGATTATACGGTCACTGTCACACCCTAGAGCATTGTATAGCAATCTGTTGACCGGTCAAACAATCTACATGACATTCAATTGACTAGTCAAATAGCAGCCTATGTGATAAATATTGCAGCGGGCCCATCTGTCAGTATTTCTAAAAAATTGCATGCACAATTTTTAAAACTGTACGAAATTTTTTCAATTAAAGAAGCACTCTTGTAGTACATAAATATTTTTAATTATTTTTTCGTTTGCATGAATATTTTTTGTCTGTGGATTCATATATATCGCACATGGGATTGCTCAAAAAAATGTTATATCTCACATGCTTGTGTACGTGGGTGCATATGTGCCGTTGGAAAAAATAACTAAGCTCCTACGGGCTCGATTTGCTAGGGTGCCTTTGGATTCGTCCGCGAGGCCCTGGTTGCGAACCACCTACGGGCTTGGAATCCCAAAGACTGCTGTTTACGTTTTGTTTATTTATTTAATTTTTCCACCTACTAACAGATGGGCCCAAACCGAGTGCCACAGTAGGTCGTTTGACCGGTCAGAGTGCAATACGAATGCTATACAGAGAGTCAGTGACCGCATAATCACCGTTTTACGTATATAATGACCGTGACGAGCGTATTTTAAAGTCCAGTGACCATATCGTATTTAGGACTCAATTTCAGTGACCGCTAATGTATTTATCTCTTTTTCTTCTTCTCTTTTTCTGACGGTGCAAGCCCCCGAGCCCGAGGTGCCGTGCGATTTCTCATTCTCTTTTTCTATAGTGTGTCTTTTTTTTTGGAACTCGCATTTTTCTATCGTGTGTAATTAAAATTAATAAAGTTTTCTTGACAAACCTATGAATTTGCCTTCTTCAACTTCTTATATTGTTTGGGTTTTTTTTTCCTCTGTGAAAATAATTCAGATAATATTATCAAAGCTCACGGGAAGTACAAAGCCTCTCAAATGTAATAAAAATTGCATCAAGATGCCAAGACCACCGCACTATCACTGTCACTATCGTCGCCGGAACGCGCCGTTGCCCTATCAGAGCCGGCTTGACCTTGTCGATGACGGCCGGAAAGTCTTCGTGCATGTGCCTCTAAGGACCAGCACCCTGGAGCCACAATCGTCGTCGTCGTCGTCGTTGAACCCTTGAATAGATCTGAAGCAACTGATACCAAATCTCGCCACACGGCGAGAAACTCTAGCCTCACCGCCCCAAGAAGACGGCGGGAATTTACGCCGGAGCTCCATCGACTACGTCCAGATGGATGAACTTGAGGAGGATCGAAGCCCGAAACGCAAACTCAAAGAAGAAGTGCCGCCATTCACTCGAGCACCGCACCTGCGAGGACTAAAAACTCTAACATAAACTACTAACCGAAGCGGAGGCACCGAGATTCCCCTTCCCGCCATCGGCCGTCGATGCTTTTCCGAGTATATTTTGTATTCGTCCACTCATGAAAGGATCAAATCGATCCCCCCCTCCCCGCCGCCCCCCGCCATCTTACTTAAGCTTTGGAATCTAACAACAACGATGGTTGCGAGTAGTACTACAGCCATCTTGCTTGTGTGGATGCAGCCTGCATTGCTGCCCATGATGATTTAGGTAAAGTTATCGATTCTCCTGAAATTTTATGTCCTATTAGCAATCAAACGTGCGTCCGTGGCTGGCATCACGCCAACTCACGTGCGAGCACCCCGCCGCCAGGGAAAAGCGCTCATACCCAGGCACTGCTACGGTTTCACCTGCCTCCCGCCGGCGCCGGTCTACTTCGTCTCCTTTTACCTTGAGGCCATGCAGGCGTGGTGGATCCCGACCCTTGCTAACCAGAGGGCTTCGACGACTTTGGATGTTTTTCTGAGTTTTCTTAGGGTTTGTGTCCTGCTCAGAGAGAAGAGGCGGCGGTGGCTATTTGAAGATGAAATAAGGTTCTCCCCGCCAAGTGATGTCCTGCAAGTGCACATGGTTTAGTTGTAACTTTTTTGAAGTAAGAATATCGACCCCACAGGAAGCACAGGAATCAATCTTTCATCTCTTAAATGGTGCGAATAAAATGCCTGTAAATTGTTAATTATCCAAAGCAATAGTAAAGTGATGAAAATGATGTTGGAGGTGCAAAGATAAATAAATCAACAAAAGTAGATAACTAGAATTGTAAATGAGAGGCTTGAGACAGCTGGGATTAAAGCATTCCCGAGGAGTCTATAATCCCCTCTAGTGTGCATCGTGGTGCCTAAACACAATGCTACTTCGGATTCCTAAGCCACTTTACATGTTTCTCTTTGTCGGCAGAGCCAATATAAATACGTGCATACACGCGGCAGCTCCGTATCACATATGCCACTACCGTTCTTCCTCACTGGTTATCAAACTGCAATTAAGGGAAAAGATGTCCTCGTGAATGTAGCCAAAGTATTCTCTGTTTTACCCTGCTGCAACGATCCGCTTCAAAGGGAGATGGGGCCTGTCACGTCACCCACCTCTGCAACCACACGGTTCGCCAACATTAATAACCTTCCGTCCAAAGATGGCATACATTGGATGGTCGACTTCATCCAATGTCACGGAGATCATTAACATAAACATGCAAAGACGATGATCTATTATACACTAGAGTTCATCCATGTCCCCAAGAACTAAGGAAACTACTCACTCCTGAGCAACAAACATCATACCCCCAAAGATGGGAAACATGAATGAATCACACATGTAATAAACAAGTTATTCCTCTAGGGTTCTTTCTATTACAATGGGGGAAAGGTAGATGGCGATGATGATGACAGTGGGGATAATGTTGGAGCCTTCTTGATGAAGATGGTGGAGGCGGTGGCCTCCTCCTTGCCGGTCCCTTCCTCCGGATCACTCCGGCCCCTATGTGTAAGGGCATATTTATCCCCAAGATGTTTTGGTGATTGATGACAATGTTTTTGCGGACTAATCGTGTGCGTTAAGTTCTTTGAGAGATTCATCCATTGGCACGAGACGATTACCTCCCCTCGGTGTGTCATTCAAGACGGTGTAGCTCCTGCGTTTCTCTGTTGGTGGACTAGTTTCGTAGGAGTCACCGTACTATCAAGAGGGGATCCGCTTTGGTAAGGCTAGGGTGGAATCAACACGTACACATCCGTTTCTCACCCGATGTCTTCCTTTCCGCTTCGATGGAGCAGCCTTTCCTTTCCCTTTGCCTGCCCTGACCTACCCCAGCGGTAGTACCGCGGTCCTCAGCGGTAGTACCGCTGAAGCTCTCAAGCGGTAGTACCGCTCCCAGAGCGGTAGTACCGCTTGTGGTCTTCGGCCGTAGTACCGCAGTGGTTCCGGGCTACTACCGCCTCGATTCTCGACCGATGTTTTTCGTGTCGGGTTTTGCGGTACTAAGTGCGGTAGTAGCGGCGGTAGTACCGCTCCAAGCAGTAGTACCGCTCCTACTCCCACGGTAGTACCGCTCTGGGGCCAGGTCTCTAATCTCCCCGTCAGCGCGGCAGTACCGCTGGGTGAGAGCGGTAGTACCGCTCTCAGCGGTAGTACCGCCCTGTCCAAGCGGTAGTACCGCTCTGTGCGTGGCTGTTCAGTGGGGTAACGGTTGGATTGGTTTCCCCACTATATAAAGGTGTCTTCTTCCTCCAAGTTGACTTACCTCTTTCCCCCAAAGCTCCATTGTTGCTCCAAGCTCCATTTTCACCCGATCTCTCTCCCTAGCCAATCAATCTTGTTGATTTGCTTGGGATTGGTTGAGAAGGCCCCGATCTACACTTCCATCAAGAGAAATTTGATTCCCCCCACTTATCCCTAGCGGATCTTGTTACTCTTGGGTGTTGAGCACCCTAGACGGTTGAGGTCACCTCGAAGCCATACTCCATTGTGGTGAAGCTTCGTGGTGTTGTTGGGAGCC